GGTAGCCTTTTCAACAAATAGTTCAGTAATAGTAATCTATATGCAGCCCTGATTTGGCTTCCTATTTAGATTAAAATTCTATCATCCAACTCTATACCACTTGATCCACAATGCCACTTCCGGCTTTTTTTTTCCCTGCTTGGTGGTGCTGAGGAATCGAACCCAGGGCCTCATGCATGCAAGGCAAGCACTCTACCACTGAGCCACCTTCCCAGCCCAGTGTACAAGTTTTTATGTAGACATGACAGTTTGATTCCTTAAACTCCAGAGTACAGTAGTTGTGTCTTACACTAGAAAGTTTGTTTAGTGTTATACAAACGCAGTTTGGAAGACCAAACTGATTTCCAAAGTGTTTGTGCCAGTGTTTCTGTTAGGCTCACACATTGTTAGGTCTTAAGAGATTTGACTCCTTTATCATTAAAGCAAATTTCCTTTCTTTGAAGCCCATTCTTTCTGAAGCAAAGGTGGCTGCTCTACTTTCTTTTTGGGGAGGTGGAGGGAGGGGTAGTCCTGGGGCTTGAACTCAGGGCCTATGTGCTATCCATGAGCTGCTTTTTTTCTTTTTTTTTTGGGTCCGGTCGTGGGGCCTGAACTCTGGACCTGGGCACTGTCCCTCAGCTCTTCAGTTCAAGGCTAGTGCTCTACCACTTGAGCCACAGCGCCACTTCCGGCTTTTTCTGTGAATGTGGTGCTGAGGAATCGAACCCAGGGCCTCGAGCATGCAAGGCAAGTGCTCTACCACTGAGCCACCTTCCCAGCCCCGAGCTGCTTTTTTTCTAAAGAATAGTGCTCACTTAAGCCACAGCTGGTTAATTAGAGCTAAGAGTCACATAGACTTTTCTGCCTGAGCTGACTTCAGACCATGATCCTCAGATCTTACCTTTCTGAGTAGCTAGAATTGAAGTCATCAGCTACCAGCCCCTGGCTGATAGTATCTTTTGATGTATAACAATCTAATTTTTATAAAATCAGTTTTATCAGTTTTGTTGCCTTAGACTTTAATGTTGTATTATATACAACACCTTTTTTTTTTTAAGGTACTAGTGTTTAAACTCTGGGGCTAACACTTGATAGCCCAATCGTATCATACTTGAGTCATGCCTCCAGTGTTTTGTTTTGTTTTGGGTTTTTTTTTTGTTTTTTTGCTTTAGTTATTTTTTGCATAGGATCTCAAAATTTTTTCAGGGCTGGTATAGACATCGATCCTCCTACCTATGTTTCTGTCTGCTTGCAGAGAGGCAAAGACAGGAAAAAGGGTAGCCTTTTCAACAAATAGTTCAGTAATAGTAATCTATATGCAGCCCTGATTTGGCTTCCTATTTAGATTAAAATTCTATCATCCAACTCTATTATAATATCCTACTCTGAGGCTTCTTTCTTACTCTGTTTCCTCACTCTTCTTGGTTATGCCAGCCTCCTTAGTATTTCCTGACTACCCTCTAAAGGCCTAAAGGCCTTTGTTGCAGCACATGTAGAACTTACTTCCCACATTTCCCATACCTTATCTCTCTCAGGTCAGATCAGATGAGGTAACACCTCCTATCCAGAAGAGCATGATGTTGCTCTGTCCCTTTGCTATTTCCTGTCTCACATTATATTGTATAGTGACTTTCCTAACAGCCTGCCTGCTTCTTGAACTAGGATGTTGACCCATGAAAAGAGGCTTTGCCTTATTTAGGCTAAATATAATATTTTCTGGCTTAGTAAATATCTATTAAATATTGAGGTTGGAATGTGAATTTAAAAGGAATGTCTCTAGATGAAGGAATGACAGGTCATGTTTTAATCTCACGTCTCCTGGTGTTATTTACAGTATTTTTCTCTTTGGTGATTTTAGCAATTTTGTTTTTCTTTCTCATTAGGAAGAGTGAAATGAACTATGCTGTTCTATTCTTTTTTTTTTTTTTTGTCCATCGTGGGGCTTGAACTCTGGGCCTGGGCGCTGTCCCTCAGCTCTTCAGCTCAAGACTAGTGCTCTACCACTTGAGCCAAGCACCCACTTCCGGCTTTTTCTGTGAATGTGGTGCTGAGGAATCAAACCCAGGGCCTCATGCATGCAAGGCAAGCACTCTACCACTGAGCCACCTTCCTAGCCCCTGCTGTTCTATTCTTAATGTCCTACTGTGTCTTTGCTTTTCCATGGTCATTAACTTTGACTTTTAAAATACAGTGTCTGTTGTATTACCCTGGCACATGTATGATTATTCCAGGCTAATTTATATAAGAGCATATGAAAACATTCTTTGTTCTTAGCACTTCAATGCCTTTCATCTCAAGGTTGTTAAAATTCCTGTTTGTTCAGTGTCTAGTATACTGGCAAAGGCAGGGGCTCTTCTCTTTGTATAAACTATTTTACTCCATTAGAGGCCTAAATAACTAGACATTGCATAGCTCTTTATCCCAGGATTGTTTTGGGTCACCTGAAGCTCTGACTTACTTGTATACTGTAACCAAACAGTTTTCTACTTGTCCCTTTGACTAGTTGGAAATGTAAATTTAAGGCTATAGTGTACAAACTATTTACGATCTACAGCATTTATTTTTACCTATATTTATCTTTTCTTTCTTTTAATTCTTTCTTTATATTATTTGGTATCTATCCTTTTTCCATTACCTGCAAGTATTTTTTGTAAATTTTTATTGTTGTTATAAAGGTGATGTACAGAGGGTTACAGTTACTTAAGTCAGGTAGAGTACATTCTTTTTGGACATTGTCCCTTCCCTGGATCTCTCCCAATACAAATCCATTTTAAAGTGATGTGAGATATCAGCTATTTATACCAGCCATTTTGTGTTAAAGAGTCACTGCTAAACTTCATTAGTGAAATTTTAATCCGATTATTTTCTAAACTGTTTTTGTTTTGATTTTTTGGTTTGAATTCAGGACCTCACATGTGCCTGTCTTATTTGTTCAGCTGGTGCTCTACCATTTTAGTCATGCCTCCTGCTCAGCTTTTTGCTGGTTATTTTGGAGATGAAGTATTTTCTGCCTGGGCTGACTTTGAACCACGATCCTCTGGAACTGAACATTCTGAGTCACTAGGATTACAAGCTTGACCAGCTGGGCCTGACTTTCAGCTATTTTGTTTTAGAGAAAAGAAAAGGAATCTATTTTATTTTGTTTGGTTTTCAGGTTTTTTTGTTGTTCTGTGGAGCTTTTTTGGCAATTTTTCTAGTTGGTAAAATAATTTCTTCTCTGTATACTTATAGTATTGGGAAGTGTGTGTGTGTGTGTGTGTGTGTGTGTGTACTGTCATATTAAATTACTTATTTGGTCAAATTTAAGACATTGTGTGTGTGTGTGTGTGTGTGTGTGTGTGTGTGTGTGTACTGTCATATTAAATTACTTATTTGGTAAAATTTAAGACATTTTTTTCCTGAATTGATCTTTACCTATATGTAGGAGGAAATGAGTCTCAACCAGAAAGTCAGGAAGAAGACCCTCGAGAAGTTCTTAAGAAAACGTTGGAGTTCTGCTTATCTAGGTAAGGTTGGTAGTAATTTTTCTAGTACCTAATATCTGTGATATTAGTGAATTGATTATTATCTAAAAACGAGATTGATCAATCTATTCATTTTGTAATACTGACATTTGAAGTTGGGACTTCATGCTTTCCAAGCAGGTGGGTTTACTGCTGAGCAATGTCTCTAGAATATGCAAATGTGATTTTTTCATCAGAATATATGTCTATTAGTTATCTCTGTGTATGTGCATTTATTAATCAGGGAGCTAGTATGTCATATAAGTAGCCTTTTGTATGTTGAAGAACAAATCACAGTCCTCTGGTCAGTTGTTCCCCTATAGATGGGTCTAGTAATTATAGATGGGTCTAGAAATTCATCTTGCTGTTGATTATCTGAGTTGTATGGATTCCTGTATACACATACAGACATAGACACACACACACATGCACACACACATGCGCGCACACATGCGCACACACATGCGCACACACATGCACACACTTGCCCACTCCCTGCAGTAAGGGCTTAATATCTTCAGTCTCACTTGCAGCTTGAAGTTAAAAGGCTTGGCCTACATTCTTTCTGTAGGAGTAAATTGTTTATTATAGCACTAATATGTATAGTGTCTTTTTTACCCTGAGTCATTATTTTTTTATTTAGAAATATGGTAGAACCTTTCATGTCAAGTGACAAAAATGGATGTACAAGTTTGGGTTAAATATAGTTTTCTTTGAGCTTAAAGGTAGCTTCTTGGCCCTGTGTAAAGTTCTATCAGTACTGATTTTTCAAGTGTTGTCTCTGGAGCCCTGAAGACCTCACAGATTGTCTGGTAAAGGCTCCTTACAGATAATGAAGATTATTTGAAATTGGGGTGGAGGACCTGTTTTTGGACCTTCCTTCTGCTTCCATTTTGTCACAAATTGGCAACACTTGAATATATTACATAGTGGCATAATGTGAAAGTATACTCAGTGGCACAGTTGAAAATCACAGCCCCTTGTTGTTCACAAGTCCTTGTCTAGTTCTAAGGTAGTCTTGACCACCAGCATCTAAGCAAAGCAGTAATTAGCTGAGAGGAAAGACACAGCAGCATTTCCCTCTTATGCATCAGTCACTCGGAATTCTGCAGTTCTCATTGGCCTTTGGTGGAACGTTGTAAGAAGAGGTCCTGGGAAACCTACTATTGTACTTCAGTATTGATTTTTTTTTTTTAAGGCTTTTTGCATTATCTTACACATTGTCTTTTTCCTGAGAATTCACCAGGGCAGTTATGTGTGGCCAAAATAGCAGGAAGCAGCTCATCTTAGTGATTATTTGTGGCATACCTTTTGATCTTGTGGGTAAAGTTACTGATCTGTTTCCTTCTTTTTAATTCTGGCTGCTAGAAAACCAGACATAAAATTGCAGCTTCTCTAGCCAAGTGTTCCAGACTATTGCTTGTACCCTGGGTATTGACCTTATCTTATCCCAGCCTTATTTTGTTGACTTAATCTGGATTTCCTTACTTTAGAATAACGTGTGTGTGTGTGTGTGTGTGTGTGTGTGTGTCTATATGTAATATTTTGTGCCGGTCTTCCTGTGGGACTTAATCTGGATTTCCTTACTTTAGAATAACGTGTGTGTGTGTGTGTGTGTGTGTGTGTGTGTGTGTGTGTGTGTGTGTGTGTGTGTGTGTGTGTGTGTGTGTGTGTGTGTGTGTGGATCTCAGCCTCCGGAGTACTTAGGATTATGGATTATGGGCGTGAGCCACTAGCGCTCAGCTGCACAAGCATTTTAAAAGAAAGATGTGTTGGGCTGGGAAGGTGGCTCAGTGGTAGAGCACTTGCCTTGCATGCTCGAGGCCCTGGGTTCGATTCCTCAGCACCACATAAGCAAAAAGAAAA